AGAGAGAGAGAGAGAGAGAGAGAGAGAGGGAATCGTATTATCGAAGAGAAAAATCCGAGAGAATAGAAAAATCCTCGACGCTCGCTTTCATCCCATGCGCTCGAATAATTACAACGACAACGAGTTGTAAATCTTTTTACGACCGATCGTAAGTGCACGTGTTTATCGCGAAGACACGCAAGCCATAAAAATTCTCGTTACAACCTTCCTTCCTCACCGGTATCTACCAGTCGCGAAGACAAACTCAATTTCCCCGATATAATCATATGCGAATTTCTTTTAACCAATCATCCTATGATAATTGTTTTCTCGATCGGCTTTTGTTGCGCAATTTTTTGCAAAAACGCGATAATAATTCACCATCGACCACGGATATCCATATACACATAGAAAAAGGTGTGAAAGAAAAAGCGATCGATGATCATTTTAATAAGATATTTCCATTCGTTCGTGATTATGGATGAATAAACGGCGAATCCGAACGCGCAAATAGAAACGATTTATCAGACGTGGTATCCTCGTCAAGATGAAAGGTGAGCATGCTTAAAACGCGAGTTGCGCAAACGTAAGAGATTAGAGGCGATAAAGGGCCTCCGACTTCCTCTCCGTGGAGAGGAGAAGTTTTGAAAAGCGACTGGTTGAGGGAGGGGGGAAGAGGACAGAGAATTGGAACGCGTTTCTGAAAAAGCGTGGATGCTTTCACGTCGTCGCGCGACAATGTGATCTAAGCATACTTTTCGAGATTAATCCGGGTTCGATTTGCCGCGTTAACGTATGCGGCGCGCATCGCGCATTTTGTAGTTTAGAAAACGGTATACAGAGGCGCACGTGTTTCGTATGGCGAGCTGTCGATACGGCCGATCGATAGCATACCAACTAAACACGGGCGGAAGGTGGGTTTCTGGCACGTATACGCACACCGAATAACGAAACCTTGAACGATAAATTCGACATTGAATTTCGTTACGTGTCCCTAAACTAAGCATCGATCTATTCGAATTCATCTGTACATTCGATATATTTCCCCTCGAAAAGTGGAACGCTTCGGATTCGCTTCGCGAAGAATTTCGGGGGATCGTGTCGCTGTATTTGGCGGGGAAACGGTGTTATCTCGATTTCGATTTCGACGTCGAATTTAACGGCGGAGAAAAGGGAAAACTGGTACGTGGTCGGTGGTTCAGAATCTGGACCGAAATGCCGTTACGATGCCGTTCGAAAGTGGGCCGCTCGGCGTATCTCGTGCTTGGTCGGTCGGTCGCTCTACACCGGACGTTTCCACGACGGCCAATTCAATTTTAGTTCCGATCGAGCGCCCATTCATCCATGCAAATTATATTTTTATTCTCTTATAAGTTTCGTGCAAATAATCACGATCTCTTCGATCACGGTATCACAGACTTATACACACACACACACATACATATATATATATAATTTTCGTTGGAATAATAATTAACTAACTAAACACGATTATTTGAGGATATAATTCTATTTGGAAAAGTGCCATCTCCTTCCTCTTCCCCACCAACTGTTATCCGCTTCCGGCTCGTGATAAGTTTCGTAATAGTGTTGGTGATATTCAGGTTTGTGGATCACTATCGTTTCCGACTTCTTGGAATTCCTCAGCGTGTTGTACAGCATTATTGCCAACGCGATTTTCCCTACGACCAAGCTCCGGATTAAACTCAATTTGATGGAGGAGAGGGTGACCGGTAGCCATGCTAACTGAAAAATTAAACATTAAAAACGTTAGACCGCTTAGATAGATCTTTTCTTTTTTTTTTTTTTTTTTCTTTCTCATAGAAAAGATATATAAAGAAAACCTGTATCATCAAAGGGACCATCATCATCGCCATACCGATTCCTTTTATAATTTTCTTTTTCAACCTCATTATTCCGAATTTTCGTTCCTCTGGATCGTCCCCTTTGACAAGAAGAAGACGAGATTCGTGAATAAAGCGATGACTTTAAAATATTATATTTATATTTCCCTCCCCCCCCCTCCTTTTTTTTTTACTTACTTTCGAACAAAGACGACATGCTCAGCCTCACGGTCGCTTCGTTATTCGTCACGTAGACGGCGATTCCTCGGGAAATGTCGATTCTCAGAGCGTTGCCCGAATCCTTGGCGGCGCGGTCGGCGCGCGTCAACGTTTGATACATAATCGCGATGCACAAACACCAAAAAATCGCGTCCACTTTGTTCATCGTTCCGTTAAGAAAGTTAATTCTTAAATGCGAAGAAAATGGGAAGATGTTGAATCATCAACACTGTTTATTTCCCGACTACCTCTCTAATTAAAACTAATCAATTCTTCGCGCGTCCCCTCACCATTTTCCCTTCCATCGATTTCCACCATTAGGGGAGATGATAGAAAATTTTTAACGATCGCCGGTTAATCCCTGGTTTCTCGCCGCCCCTGAAACTCGAGTCAAATAATTTTTCGGCGAGCAAAACGGCGAGCGGTTCTTGGTTTCGAACAGTCGGTGAACAGACTGGTACACCAGACTGGACGGAGAACGGACATTTTCCTTTTTTTCTTTTTTGCACTCTCTGCGCTTACCCCACTAAACCGGGAAACTGGAACTCGTGCAATTCGTCGGCGGTGAGAAGATGCGATGCGGTTGGTCGCGGACGCGTGAGTCAAGCGGACCTTGAAACACGGAAAATTTAACTTCGTTTCTCTCGTTCGTAAAAGGAGGCCTTCGACCCCCCTCCCTCGAAGTCTTGCCTCGCGTGCAACAAATTTTTCTCCGTCGAATTTTCTCTATCGAGAAAGGAGAAAAGGTCGAGAGGAGATGACGAGAGGCAAAGAAGAAAAGGATGATCGATTTGATAGAAAAAAAAAAAAAAAGGAAAAAATAATTTAATAAAATACATTCCACGGTGATACACATGTAATTGTTACGATCGAAACGTGCATGGAGATATCGAGACAGCTGTTTCCTTACTACATAATAAAATAAATTAATACTAATATCGCTAAGTTGAGGTAAACGCGTTGAGATTGTTCCTTAAACGTAACGCAATGTTCACACAATTTTGGTTTCTCAATTTGGTTTTTTCTCATTTTTTTTTTTCTCTCTCTCGATTATATCTATACGCGAGTTGTGTCCGCCTTACACTTCGAATAAATAAAACTTAAATAAAGCTTAAATTCGAGAGTATCCTTTGGTACTTTGGTTTGGAGAGCAAACGTAGCATCGGTTCGTCGATTAAATTATCACAAAAAAAAAATCGCGATTTTTCTTCGATATTGAGGTATGGATATGGTCGAGGAAGGAACGAGGAGGCCCCGAATAAGCCTAATTCTAATTGCGACAAATATATCGAGGAAACGCTCTCTTCGAGAGAGTGTCATGCTCTGTAGTAGTAATGGTGTTCCCCTCCTGGACCGCTCCCCGGCATCCAACCGCTGTACGCTTGATTGTGAGCCGTTGGTGGACTGTTGTGAACGTGCACATGGATCGGTTGAGGAGTCTGCGCATTGTGCTGCCAACCGAAGGAGAACTTGGCTATTAGCGTGCTCAGTTTCAGCATTAATAACATGGCACCTGTAATGGCAAGTTCGCGTTCAGACCGATGCGATAAGGCAAGAAGGGGGAATTTACAATACGCGTAGAATTTTACGGCGATGCGCGCGCACATCGTCGTTCCTCGGCTTAAAAGGAGATAGATAGATAGATAGATAGATACATAGACGCAACGATGATATTTTTCTCACTTACCAACGAGCAATCCCTTGACGGAGATCGCCGTCAAGACGATCAGCATCGTCATCATCACTCCCATTTTGTACATCATCGGCATCAACATGAATTGGATTCTCTTATGGCCGAACGTTCGACCCTCCCTTCTCGTCCCTTCTAAACATTCGACACGAGATTATTACGCGAGTGGCTTGTCCACGAGTGGCTCGATACGATATTATCGGGATATTATTCGAATCGTATATTCGAATAAGACGTTGAATTTAAAATTTTTTTACCCTGTACGCTCCTCCTTCTCCTCCTTCTCCTCTCGTCGTCGGGGAATTGTTCGAGTCGGTGTGCATTCTGCGCAGTGTCCTTGAAAATGGGCAGCAGTTCGATCAGTTCGCCGCGTCGAGTTGGACGGCGGTAAGCAGCAACGACACCATCGACACTCTCCTCCTCCACGCTGGCGAGTAGCGATGCACTTTTTGGAAAAGTAGACGCGAGCAACGCGCACGCCATCGCCCAACCAATCGGCCGCATTATCGAACCGGTTGCGATGATCACGTGGCCCTCTTCATCGACACCGCGTATTCGATCGAGGTGAGAGAATTTTCTCGAGAATTCCTTCTTCGTTCTTCCTCTTGTTATCTCGTGTTATGTCGAAAAAACCTCCACTGGGATCCGGACGAATCTCAGGAACCACGAATTGGAACGTGTTTATCGAGCTCGCACGAGCCGGCGTATGATTCGGACGAACGGCCACGGAGCCGTTCCAACTCAAAAGAGGATCGGCCTGCGCGGTGGATCTGCGCAGCGCTTCGAATTTCCTCCTAGCGGACAATTTGGTGGACGCGAGCCGCGGTTGGAACACTTTTTTTTTTCGAACAGAGGCGCGGCCCGACGAATTCGACGAATTGCACGAGTCACAAACTTCATTTCGATCGTGTTACGTAACGAAACGTTTAAAGTCAAACACGCCGATGGGTAACTCGCTTTGCGCGCGTACAGTATTTTAGAAAGGAGGCTACACGGAGAGGAGAGGAGAGGGAAGAGAGGAGTTAAAAATGGAATTTGAAAACTATACGCTCCCTTCGAGCGTCGTTGGAAATTTTTCTTTCTGCGTCGAATGTACATCACGTCCCACTTTCTACTCATCGTCATTGTCCTACAATCGTTCGTATCCTCGAATAGGGATCGCGCGACGATCGTTAAATTCCCGGCCTGTGTCAATCATAGGCGTGAATTCGTCGAAAAAAAAAAAGAGGGGAAGATTTTTCCTCAATTTTTCCGAAAATCGACGAGATGGGAGGAGAGCGTGGGATTCACTTGAGCTTGGGGGGCCTTCCGTTTTCAATTACGTTTTCAATTTTGCTTCACGCCCTGTTAATTTGACCGGTGCGCCAAGTTGTTTACGAAGCGTACGAAAAGAGACGTAATGGTCTCGATAATTTCTTCAATTACGACAAGTAATCGAGAGATATTTTAATTCGTTGTCGAGATTCAAAAAATTCATCCGAGAGATTTATTTCGATGGGATTTAAAAAAAGGAAAAAAGAAAAAAATGAGACGGAGAGAAACGGACGAGAATAAACGAAACGAAACGAAAGCAATCGTCCATTTCCATTCAGATTCGGGTTCCGTCCCAATTGGCAGGTACGGTCACAGTTTTTAGTGGCGGTGATAATCGCGGTAAAAGCATTGTGGATACACCTTAAGAGCGAAGTGTACTACGATGAATAAAAGGAAGAGAAGCGGTACAGGTTTGCTGCATCGGGTTTAGCGCGGTGGATCCGGTATGTGGAAGGAAGAGAGGAGGAGGAGAAGAAGAAGAAGAAGAAGAAGAAGAAGAAGAAGAAGAAGAAGAGGAGCCGAAGAAGGAAACCATGGTGGAGGCCATGTTGGAAAATAATGCGCGTCGTAAAAATTCTTTACCCTCGCGCGGATCCTGTTGCCAGGGTACATACGGATATGCACACCTCTTTCTCCCTTCTTTCTGGCTTCATCCCGTTCTAGTCTCGATTCGGTTCAAGGACTTAAAAATTCGTCCCTCCCTCCCTCCCTCCCCCTCCCCTCCCCTCCTCCCCTTTCTGGTACCAGAACCAGAAAGGCCGTGTTAAAGGCGAACTTGAAACCTTGCTTCGACTGTATTCCACCTTGTTGTATTGCCTCCATCATCCCTCCCCTCGCTTTTTTTGCACTGTCTCTCCTATCAACTCGCGCGTCGTAGCGAATTCTTAAAACCTGCGCCGCGGATAATTTAAGAAAACGATAAAAGGGAACGATATAATAAAACGAGAGAGAAAATCTGCGAGAATTCTTCTTCTTCTTCTTCTTCTTCTTCTTCTTCTTCTATTTCTTCTCCGCGCACAGACGTTTAATCTTTCCTCGAGTCGAGTCCCCCTTTGGAGCGAGTTCTTCCGAGTCATTCGAGTCATTTGCCGGACTAACCTTTTTTTTCCCTTTTTCGGCTGAAAAATTCCAGGCGGGCAAAATGCTTGGGGTTAAAAACGGAGAAAGAGACCCCGGTTTGTACCCATCGATCGGTTTGTAACCAAGTGGTGAATTCTTGGTTGACGAAGAGCGATCGAAGTTAGATTTCAACGTTATTTTCCAAGCACCACTGGCTCAAGGTTAAACGGCTCGTTACCGCGTTGGCCGCGACAAGGAACAGAGTTGGAGCAGACGAGCGGTCAGCAACCGGTATTCACCGACTCGCTCGCTTCGGCCATTGCTTCTCTCGTAAAGAGAGAACTCTTCTAAACTTTTTCTATTATCGAACCGAACTGCTTCGTTTTTCCTCTAGGAAAAAAAAGAAAAGAAAAGAAAAGAATCCAATTACGATTCATCCCTCCCTCCCCCTGAACACCCACCCTCCTGAACATCTCAGTTCAATGGAACCATTTCTACGAATCTTTGTTCTTTGTTCCCGATGGTGGAAACGCGCGCACGCGCACTCTCTCTCTCTCTCTCTCTCTCCGCGTAAAAGAAAACGCATTCACACCCGTTAGAGCGCGAACTCGATTCGCTCGCTCGCGAGGGGTAGGTCGTAGAGGGGCGGCTCGCGGTAAAAATGGAAATTCCCGGCTCGCATCCACGCAACGCGGCGTCTCGTTGGTGGAGGAACAACCTCTCCACGTACACTGTTACGGCCGATGGGGGGCCGGCGGTGGTGTATGTATTACCATACATACCCTTCCCATGGGTGACCATAAACCGGCTCGCAAGTGGCCGAGACATTCGCCTCTCGACCGCGACCATGAGAGCACTCGACTCGCGACGCCCACAGCTACCGGCTGCCACCAGCTTCTTCCACCGGACACTTCTTCCTCCTGCTTTCCTTCCTCGATCTTTCTGCCTCCTTCTCTTCCTTCTCCTCGTTGCCCGCGGTGGCGAGCCGCTCCCGAGCCGCGTCAACCCGCTCCTCCCCCGTCCGTCCATCGACGGGGACCCGGGTCGTGTTCAATTCGATTCGTCGGGCCGAGGTGAGAGCTATGCGCGCGAAACGGGTGAAACGTCCAGCAGCGTTCCTACGAGGGTGGAGGAGGAGGTGTCGAGGAGGAGGCGAGGGGACGAGGAAGCCGAGGGCGCGGTGAAGAAGCGGAGGAGGAACGACGTTGGTAAATCGAAAGGCGAGGAGAAGGAGGAGGAGGCGGCGGCGGCGGCTAAGAGCGAGGGGATCAGAAGGTTCGACGAGGGTGCTGTCGCCCCTGAGAGGACGGAGGGTGGGGCTGGAGAGGTAATTCCGAATCATTTTCGAAAGTCGGGGAAGCTGGAGGAGGATGACGAGGGTGGGAGCGGGGAGGAGATCTGGTCGAACGAAAGTTCGGAGGAGGGAAGGGAGTACAGGTCCTTGGTCGAGGCAGGCGAAAAATCGAAGAATCGTAAGAGTTCCACCGTTTACCTGAACGCGGAGGAGAGGAGAGTGGCGGACGGGGAACAGCAGTCGATCGTCGACGGGCAGATAAAGAGATTGATCTCGATACGGGACGACGCGCTGGACGCGCGGACGAGGGGGGAGGACAAGATGGACGAGGCCAAAGTGTTGAATTTCAAACGGGAGGTCGAGTTGGACGGTCAGCGAGGAAACGAGGTAAAAAGCTTATTAACTTTTATTCGGCCGAGAGACGTCGATTCGTCTCTGAATTTAGGGAGAACCAGTTGTTGCTAGACGGAGATCGGGGAGGAGTGGACCGTTCGCGGCTCGAACGTGGCCGGCAATTGGTTCTCCATCGGATCGGAGAACTCGCGGTTTTTATTCGACTCGCGTTACCTTCCAGGGTAAGGGGAAATCTGCTCGGGATCGACGAGGGATCAGACTTCTCACCCCCGACACCTTGGTGTACAACATCCTGCAAGACGCTCTGGAAACGTATCAGAGCGAGGAGCCTCGGATCTCTTACATCGACATCAACAACGACACGTTGAAAAAGTTCATGACCACCGACCAGTTGTACATCCTCCGGATGGCCGAGAAATTTTTGCCCCAAACGTTGCGCCTCGACTACTCCGAGAAGATGTTCTCCTGCGTGAGAAGATTCGAGTACTACAGCTGCGTGAAGCACCTCGCCTGGCCCCTCATCAAGCAATACTTCCCTGCCCTGCCCCCCTTCCCCGACTCCCAAACCTGGTACCCGATAATCGACATGTATCCCGTCTTCCCCCCCTTCCCCGTTTACCTGGAGGGGGATCTCGTGTTGCCGGAAGTGGTGGACGAGGGCGACGGGAAAACGGGGAAGAGGAACGGGCCCGAGGCGACCATCATCCAGATCCTGCAGAACGTTCTCAAGGATCGTCGCGCCGACTCATCATCCTCCTCCACCCCCTCCTTCCTCGATCGATCGACCGACGCCTACGTCGCTCTCGTACCGGACGATCAATTGCTGACCATCAACATGGCCGAACGATTGATCCCGATCACGTACAGGGCCCGATTCGTCGAGAACACGGTCGGATGCATGAAGGAGTACGATTACCTGGCGTGTTTCAAATTCTTCGCCTGGCCCGCGGTCAAACGCTTCGTCCCCGCCCTCCCGGACGTATTCGCCGGGGATCGTCAGAGCGCAGCTCCCTCCCCGCAGGCAGCGACCTCGAGCGGAGCGGACAAACTCTATCTGCCGGCCACCTATCTCCTCCACAAAGGCCAGCCGCTCTCCCTCGCTTATCTGCCGTTGAGGGGGGGTGAGGAGGGGGAGGAGCGAAGGGAAGGAGCGTCGCGGCTGCGCTCCTCGGACGAGTTGGAGATGAAGATATTGGATATCGTTCTGGCCAAGGTGCGGGACTCGGTTAACGCGGCCGGGGAGACGTCGCCGACGTTCGTCCTGGCGGGGAACGTCGTCCATTCGTACGCCGCCTCGTTCACCGACAGGCAGATCGAAATTTTACGGCTGGCCGAGTATCTGGTCCCGCCGTCGGCGCGCCCCCTCCTGATCGCCGATGTTCTTTCCTATCTACGCGACAACGGCAACTTCGTCGACTGCGCGAGGCACGTGATCTGGCCAACGATCGCCAAACACGTGCCCGATTTACCCGATTTTCCTCGAGAAGCGGAGGAAGGGGCGGCGACGAAGGGCGAGGGACGAGTGGTCGAGTCGAGCAGCGGGCAGGTGAATCGTGGCGAGGAACAACGGGTCGTCTCGAGCACGGGCAAGGAGAAGAAGGCGAGCGTGTTGTTCCAGGACAAAGAGTCGCGAAACGGGATTCCGAGCGTGCCGGTGATCAGCGTGTCGGGCACCAGATTCGTGCCGATATTCACCGAGCTGCCCGAGACGATTATCCTCAACATTCTCCGAACGATCCAGCTTCAATCGCTCGATTCCAATCTACCGATCTCCCCCCACTCCTCCCCCCCCTCCTCCTCAATAAAAAATCCCCAGTTCCTCAACCTGCTCACCGAACAACAGACGAGCATCGTGAACCTCGTGGACGCGATGCTCCCCTCGAGCATGAGGCCCGATTTCGCCAACAAAATGATCGATTGCCTTCGAAAAAACAACAACTTCCTCGTGTGCGCCAGGGACGTGGCGTGGCCGATGCTGATGCAATACTTCCCCTGGCTGCCCAACTTCCCCAATTTCGGCATCGTCTCGTCGACCACCGCGACCACCGCGAACTCGAGCGAGACGACAACCACGACCACGACCGCCAATCAAACGACCGAGATCGGGCCGGCCCCCCCCTCTCCGAGACGAACGTGAAGACGGGGCAGCACGGGGACACGACCGTGACCATAACCGACACCAGATTCGTCCCGATTCTGAACGAGCTCCCCGAAACGATCATCCTCAACATATTGAAGGCCGTCCAACTCTCCCTACCCAACTTGCCCGCCTCCCCTCCGCCTCCCCCCAGAACGGGGGAGGAGGAAGCGTATCCCGCTCACCTGACCGAGCATCAGATCGGCATAATGAACGTGGCGCGGAATCTGTTGCCGATCCGGGCGAGGGCCGGCTTCAACGAGAGAATTCTACCCTGCCTCGGGGAGAGGAACTTCTTGGAGTGCACGAGGGACGTGACGTGGCCGACCATCGCCCAGACTTATCCCTGGCTCCCCAACTTCCCCAATTTCAACACCCTCCGCCAGACGTCGCCCCGTGTACCGGGCCCCGCCTCCATCAGGTTCCAATTTCTCCTCGATTCCGAGGGGAAATCGGCATCGACCACGGCGCCACAACCCGAGAAACCGGCGAGAAGTGGAGAAGGCGAGAAGGAGGAGGAGAAGCTGGAGGAAGCTTTGTTGAACGTTCTTGGGCAAGGAATGGAGGTGGATGATTCTCGTTCGTACTTGAACGCGAGCTCTGGGCTGAGCGAGCGGCAGATAATTATCGCGAGACGGATCGAGGGAGGGATACCGGAGGCGGACAGGTCGTCTTACGTGACGAGGATGCTGGATTGCTCGGCGCGTTACAGTTTCGCCACCTGCGTCGCCAACATCGGTTGGCCAATTCTCAAGCGGTACAATTCCACGTTGCCCGACCTTCCAACCGATCTCTTCACCCGATTGGTCGCCCAACAGCCGAGACCAGAATCGTCGGGATCCTCGGACGCTTCACAATCCTCCCAGTCTTCTGGAATTTCGCAGCAGAGAATCGAGATCGCGATTCCTCGATCCAAATCCTCGACCGAATCTTCCCCTTCTTCTTCCTCTTCTTCTTCTTCGAGGAGCGGCGAGGTCGAAGGGCAGAAGGATCCGGGGAAGGAGGACGAGACGAAAGGAACACGCCAACGAACACGCCGTCAGTAGGTGAATCAATCGTTGATTGATATCTATCAGAGATTATCAAAGTTTTCTCCGACTCCTGCTTTCTTTCTTTCACTCTTTCTTTCCTTTTTTCTCTTCTGTTCTACTTTCAGACAACGAAGGAATCATCCCCGAGTACGCAGGCCAACCGACAGGTATCCCCATAGACATCTCGAGCGAGAAGGTGCACGTATCGGGCGTCGGTATCGTTCACGGAGAGGAGAGATCGAAGAGGAGGGAGCGTAGAAGCGCCATGGGGTTGCACGATACCGATCACGAAACGACAGGCAGATTTTCGCCGAACCTGACGTTCCCAAATATCACGGAATCCGAGTATCTTCGATTGTTGGTCGGAGTTAAGGAGAAAACGAAGTCCTCCTCCTCCTCCTCCTCCTCGAAATCGAAACAGTATCTCGTCGACAATTTGAACTCGACGATCAGAGATTCTTTGACGGCTGATCAATACGAAATTTTAAAGATCGTCGAAGATCTGGACGGCCAAGCATCGCCCGGCAAGGGGCTCGCGTCCCAAACCATGAATTGCATCCTAAGCTTTAGCTTCATTAGGTGTTTAGCCATCTTCGTTTGGCCCCTTATCGCCAGCAATTTCCCCGCTCTCGGTATATTGGGACGTTCTTTGGACGATTTTCAACACAACGATCCGGGACGTTTTCCTTCCCTCGAGACGGAGAAACAAATGCAGGAATACTTCGCCATGTCCACGACCGAGTTCGAGAAAGAATTGTTGAAAAGGAAGGAGTCGATCGAGAGATTTTTCCTCGACTTGTACAGAGTGTTGACCGAGGAGAAGTTCGAGACGAGTATCGGGTATTTCAAGATCAAAGGTTACGGAAACGACGTGGCCGGGTCGTCCTCCAGAGAGGGGAGAGGGGCCAAGCTGAAGGACAATAAGAATCTACCCAGCATACTGACCATCATAAGCGACATAATGGAGGAAGTTTTGGATCAACGTCCGGAAGGGGAAAAGGCGAAGAAGGAGAAAGAGAAGAGGGAGAGGAGCATAGAAGGGTCGAGGGAGTCCGATGTCCAATTGTTGAAGGATGGGCAGGGTTACATCGATATCAAGAGATCGATGAACGACGACGAGATAATTACCATGTTTCTCGATAAGATCAAATCGAACGACTCCGACGAGGTGGTGGGGGACGAAGGCACCGGGTATCTCGCTTCGGAGGATGCGTACAACGCGTTCGAAGTTCTATTCGGCACGAAATTACACGACAAGGCGAGCACGCTGCCCCTCGACTCGTCTCGATCGTTCGAATCCTCGGAGAAGAACGAAGAACGCTCGATCGAACCGATCAAACGAGTGGATATCGTGTCTTTGGAGTCTCGGAAACGAGTCCCCAATGGAGGAGACGAGTCGAAGCTCAAGGATCAAGTGGCGTACGATTTTGAGAAAGAGTTGTCCGAGGGGCAGGAGGAGAGGCGAAGGAAGAAACGAGCTAAAGCTTATTCAAATCGTTTCTGGAGAGATACTCGTCGAGAGGTAGGCGTCTAAGGGACGTGGACAACGTCGAGGATAACGCGATCGACGATGAAAACCGACGAGGCGAAAACGACGAAGGATCGACTCTGATCGTTCGATTGCCACGTCTACGGGACGTCGAGGCCGCGTCGAGAAAAGGTACCGCCGCTTCGTTGAGCAAAGGTTTCAAGTCGAAAATGTCGGAGATGATGCCAGGGTTCGGCCTCGTCTTATCTTTCTTGCTCCAATTGGCTCTGGCGCATGCGCGTGCCACCGCCTCGGTGGCCGGAATGATCAGCAACATGGCTCTGGGAACAGCTATGTTCGGCATGATGCGAGACTCTCTTTTCGGAACGAGCAGCAATCCAAAAATTAAATACGTTTACGATAACGACAAGACGGGGCCAGGCATCTCCTGGCCTGCTCAATACGAATACGCCCCTCATTACTACGGTTAATAATAAGATCGACGTTGTTCTAGAATAGATTCTTTTTCTTTACACGCTTGATAGATGGATAGAGGAAGCGATACTCGATATTCCGGATATTTGGTAACGCGATATCGCTCGATTTTTTTTTATGGGATACATATACAATTTAACCTACGAGCCAGTTTTAAGGAATAGAGTGGGTTCCACGGTTTACACGATTACGATGATTGTACGCTATAGTAGAATATTAATATTATTAATAAGGCACGGGACTTGATGTACTAAGAGTTAAGACTATAACTTCGTTGTTCCAGGGTTCGTCGTTCACTCCATTAAAGGTTGAATAGCAATGAACGTTGTATTGGGCTAGCTTTAATTTTCTTCCGTATCCGACTGACGTATATATATATATATATGTGTATGTGATATATATATATATATATATATATATATATATATATGTATNTCGTTTCTGGAGAGATACTCGTCGAGAGGTAGGCGTCTAAGGGACGTGGACAACGTCGAGGATAACGCGATCGACGATGAAAACCGACGAGGCGAAAACGACGAAGGATCGACTCTGATCGTTCGATTGCCACGTCTACGGGACGTCGAGGCCGCGTCGAGAAAAGGTACCGCCGCTTCGTTGAGCAAAGGTTTCAAGTCGAAAATGTCGGAGATGATGCCAGGGTTCGGCCTCGTCTTATCTTTCTTGCTCCAATTGGCTCTGGCGCATGCGCGTGCCACCGCCTCGGTGGCCGGAATGATCAGCAACATGGCTCTGGGAACAGCTATGTTCGGCATGATGCGAGACTCTCTTTTCGGAACGAGCAGCAATCCAAAAATTAAATACGTTTACGATAACGACAAGACGGGGCCAGGCATCTCCTGGCCTGCTCAATACGAATACGCCCCTCATTACTACGGTTAATAATAAGATCGACGTTGTTCTAGAATAGATTCTTTTTCTTTACACGCTTGATAGATGGATAGAGGAAGCGATACTCGATATTCCGGATATTTGGTAACGCGATATCGCTCGATTTTTTTTTATGGGATACATATACAATTTAACCTACGAGCCAGTTTTAAGGAATAGAGTGGGTTCCACGGTTTACACGATTACGATGATTGTACGCTATAGTAGAATATTAATATTATTAATAAGGCACGGGACTTGATGTACTAAGAGTTAAGACTATAACTTCGTTGTTCCAGGGTTCGTCGTTCACTCCATTAAAGGTTGAATAGCAATGAACGTTGTATTGGGCTAGCTTTAATTTTCTTCCGTATCCGACTGACGTATATATATATATATATGTGTATGTATATATATATATATATATATATATATATATATATATGTATGTATGTATGTATGTATGTATGTATATGTATATATCGTTCGTCGGTGCTCTTTCTCAGTCTTCCTGGAAAACAAAATATATATATATATATATATATATTATACACATAGTCTTACTATATAATAGCACGGATTGCAGAGACTCGATCTTAGCTAGGGACGAACTAAGTAGTAGTTTCCACGAACTTGTTACACACGGATAAAATTTGTTATTAGAAGCGACAGATCTTGTTCGTTCGTGGAGGGGTTTATAATGGTGAAGGGTTTAATAACAAAATAAATAACTTTGTTGGGCAGCTCTTTCTTATCGATGCGCTCGATAATGATCAAAGACAACGCAGGAATATATAATGTTATATCGAATAAAAAAAGTCTTTTTAGTTTGTAAGGCTGTAAGCGATTGTTTTGCTAGGTTTTTTTCTCTCTTTCTTTCTCACTGTCTGTTTCTACGTTTACGAAGAATAAAACGCTTCAGAATCCACTGATTTCCTTTTCTCGACCAACACCTCTTCGCCCGTTCCCTTTGTCTCTCGCCTTTTTTATCGATTGTTCTCCGCCACCGCTAATTTTTTCTTAAGATAAGAATCGCTGAATTACGACGCGCGCGCAATATAATTATTCTCGTCTCGGATGCTCCTCCTTTCTTCTTCGTTGTTAAAGAATAAAACGAGCAACAGGGGAAAAGAATGTTATTGGATATCGCGATCAGAAATCGCGATTCATTTCAAGGTCTGGAAGAGCGTTTCGATTCAACACTAATTTTTTAAACTATAATAAAACGCTCTTTGGTTTTTTTCACTTTGCTATTGTTTCTCTATTTTTAAAGACACTTAATTAATGCTGCATTTGGATACGATAGAATCACGATGATTGTTCGTCGAACCGAACCGAAGATCAATTGTGGTATACGCTTTTTATTTTACACTTTCACGTAAAATTAAACGCGAAACGTTTTAATCTGTGATTTCGTCACTGTAACAGAAGAGGCAACACCGAAGGAACTTCTTCTTTTTCCTCTGTTCGAGCGTGATTCTCCTCCGTCTCTTCCACCGAGAATGGCAACTCGTTTAAATAAAACCTGAAAATATTCGTCGTAAGAAGAGGGTACGAAATAGAATAGGATTCATGCGAATCTACCATTCGTTCGCGTGTTCACAGTCCACGTGTTCTTCGTCGCTGCACACGCGTTCCCGTTGATCGAAAAACGTATCGTTCGGACAGACGACGGGGAAACCTTTTCCCGAATCATCGCAAGCGTGGAAAATTCGGCAATCGTATTCTAGATCCGCGTACAGGCCAATCGGTTTGCCCTCGCAAGAGAATCGAAAGGTCAGGTTGTTAAAAAAATCCAAATCGCCAAGTCGTTCCTCGGAAAAATCTTCGTAAGTCTCTAAACGGTGTCGATCCTGTAAAAAAAAAAGAAAAAGATATTCTTTTCGAACTTTTTTCCCCAAAAAACTTTTAGACGAAACATCTTACTACGTAACCCAAGGTTGGTAAAGAGACGACTACGACGAACAAGCCTGTAAAACGATCTAATCTAAGATTCGATCGTGAAAGAAATTCTGAATAATTTTATTAATAATTTAATACTCACGAGCCCAGAGTAGAAACTTCAACGAGAATATCATCGAATGATCCATTTTAAAATTCCTAAAAGAGAGAAAAAAAAAAATATGAGTGTAAGTTGTTCGATCAAATCGCGATTTTCGTTTCTCGAATTATAATCTTTGCATACCGATACTCGGCTGATGCGGTAGCTGTCTTTACTTGCACTACCGGTTTTCGAACTATGCCACTCGGAGAACTTATCGACCTTAATGACCGCGTAATTTCTCGAAAAGCGTAACGCCATTTCTCGTTATGGTCTAAACGATCGCTAACCGGGATATCCGGTTATTATTTTACGTTTAACGAAGTTGGCTGGTTAATTCGATCAAAGGACGATACTCCTTCGCCAATCATAAAAAGAGAAAGATTGCAAAATTTTTGCGAAACATTTTACGAACGAATTTATTCGCGAAAATGGCGTGCAAATTTAACATTTTCAATCTGCTTTGCTGTTCGAGAATTCGATAATATCGATGTTACCATCCTTGTATCGTTTCCAACATTATCGATTAGAATGCGACTATGATCGAAATTAAAACCGATCGAGTTTATTCGTATATCGAAAAAATGAAATTTTAAATTACGAATTAATATAATTATAAGCACTGCAAATTATAAGCATTTAATTGGAATTCGATTCAATCCACTTTTTCTTTCTCTAACGTCATTCACGATATATCGTAATAATTTCCTTCATTTTCACTCGATAAAATTATAACTTTAAATAATTTCACACGAATAATTCAATTGTTACGACGATATTTAAATATTATTATTAACGATTAATCATTTCATTCGTTTAATTTATTAGATTTCCACCGCGTATAAATTTCGATCGACAATGAATCGAAACGGTAAATAGACTCGAATATATTACAGCGCCGCACAGCGTCGATTGTATACATACGATAGATTACAAGTAGTAGTTGTCATTATGAACGAATCTTCCGTTATAATATTCCGTTTTATAATTTAGTTTTATAATTTATCGACTTATGCATTTAAATTACAATCATATTCACAATATCGTCGATTTCGTGAAAAATATTCTCAATATCATTGAAAAAGAGAAACTAGATTAATTAAAATTGGTTAACACGAATTTTTTAAACTATAGCATCGATTGAAAACGATGTATAAGATTATTTTTACGTACCAATAGATGTCACTGTAGCTCGTAAAACAAGTCAGGAAATCTAACTTTCACAAATGTTCACCAATCGCAGCCAGTCTTCTCGGCTTTCTTCTAAACCGAATAGAAATGCGCCTTCGTTGACCGCTTTTCCATGTGAAAAAAATTCACTAAAAAAGAAAAAAATTACTTTCCAAACTGAAAATTGCAATTACAAATTAACAACAACTTTCTTCTCAATTTTTGACAATAAATTTGAGCATGGGAAGAGAACAGAACGAAACGATTGTTACGGAACGTGAATAAATAAGTTTTGATACGGTCCTGGGAACCCAATGAGCCAATCGAGCGCAACCTTAACGTCCTCGTCTCGTGGAAATGTTTCAAAGCCAGAGAGCCCGCGTGTCCACGAAAGGACAGCATGTATCAACTGCCAATGGGAGAACCCTCTCTTCTCGAGCCGCCTTTCTCTTTAGTTTCGAGCCACGGCTCAGTTTTCACGGTAGCCTCATCCTGGAATCATTCGCAGAATGTCTCGAAGACAGAAATGTGGTGAAACGTTTACGTGAATTTCTTCTTCTTCTTCTTCTTTTCTCTTCCTACTGATCTCGAGCGCGCGTAAACAACGAATTACAATTTGGTCGAAAGACGAATATGTGATTTCGAAGACAGAGCTCGTCCTAAAAGCAACGACTGTCACCGTGCTTTCGGAACCTTTTCGGACGAAGTAAAAACAAGGTATTTCATCTGTTCACTCGATAAGAATATTAAAAAAGAATTTTGGATTAGAAATTTGAAATTTACACGATTTCTGATTTAATATTTCTTTATTAATAAAAACAAGCTGGTGTTTCGATGCGCTGTTCCACGTGCGTTGCGTGTTATCCGCTCGCTTCGATGAACGGTAATTTCAATGCATAAATAAATATATAAGTTGATACAGTTCTTGCTTTTTTTTTTAATTTCTTCGATTTCTCTTTTATCGTTCTTTAACTTAAACAGTGATAGTTTCTCGTCTTTCATCGATCATTGAGGTCAACAAGGTTTCATCGATCTGGTCGAAATCGTATCGAATTTCGGAAGGAAAAAAGAAAAATAAATTGCATTTCTGACGCTGACGCGAAGCCAGCAGATCAGAAATCTGCACAAGGACGGCTGGTCGAAGAAAAATATCGCTCGATTCGGTTTTTAAAAGTCCACGAGAGGAAATAAAAAGTCATATCATTGTTCCGTTTGAAAAAAAAGAAAATTTACTCGAGCGGAAAGAAAATGGAATAGAAACAATTGAATTGAATATTATTCTAGAAATTTTCTCTTCGCGTCGCGTCGTCATAACAGCATTAATTCGTTTCAGAAAGTAGAGCGTAGTTTATTGTATTTTCTTCGCGCATCAGTTATTTCTTTCGAGATCAGGGAATCGAAACAATTTTTCTCACGAGCTCGTAGATTTCTTTTTTAATTGTTCGACCAGTCGAGGTGTTTTAAGCGTCTCGTGGAACATGTTACGTGTTCTCTTCAATTTCACCGTGATAAAATGCCAAGAAATATCAAGTGTCAAACGTAAGATTACGCGAGTTAGAGAACCGGTGCAAGACATTTTTTTTTTAACTCGAGAACATGAAATCCAAGCGATTCGGTTCATTGCTCGTGATCGCTAAGGTCGATTCAGAATAAGTGAAAGGATCAGCCCCCAATGTCTGTCGTATCGTTCGATAAAATTTCGCGCTTCCTATTGAACTCGCGTTTGCCAACGTTTTTTTAAATTGCATCGGAAAAGAGGGTCTCGGGGACTCGTGTTTCCGTACTTTGTATTTACGTTCAACTGTCATGCAAGTATTATGTTCGAAAACGTTGCATAAACACTGGTTGCGGCGAAACTAGATCAGCCCGCTTTTCTTTTTTACCTTCTCGCTCGCTGAATTACTAGATTACTGGAACCGTAATAAAGAATAGTTATTCGTTTCTCAGGTCAGTGAGTTTCCCGAGCCGTTCAATCCTTTCCAACCTGTGGATTGGATAAAATTTTAAGCTATTAATTCATCGACCTCGTTTGAAACGATGGTTGAGGCATCGATTGAAATAAAAACATAACGCAGAATCGTTCCAGTAATCGTCATCCATCCCTGGCCCACTCCGCCCACGAGTTCACAATCGAACGACTAATTTTCTGTTCCCTAGTCTCGTTTTTTCTGTAAAAAAAAAGAAAAAATTTCGCGCGAATCGTTTTCTCCACATCACGGTTCGTAATTTTTCGACAAGAAAATCGCGGAACTAATTTACTCGATATTCGATACTCGCGTGCGAACACGTGGTTCGAATCGAAGGAAAGCAGTTAATCGCGAACCGTCATTTCACTTTCCGCAAGAGAATGCGATTACCTATTTCTTTCCCCCGCCGATAGAGTCTATCATCCCGTTGGCAGTTTTCCAGCTTACGATCGAACTACCGGTTTCCTCTTGCGAAGAGTTTGGTAAAAAAAAAAAAAAAAATCTTAATCAACTTGCCTTATTATCCATCAATGATTTTCGATAAACTGGATGGACAGAATCGTGTTGGCTTGGAAGAAATGATACACAGTGGGATAACAGTGAATTGCGCGCAGTTCCTCGTAAAAACGGTACGAGGTACGTAGGCAGGGAGATAGGTAGCGGCAACGAGGTCGTTCGTCTCTTTACGACCTCTTCTCTTTGTTCCTCTTCCAGATCCTCTTCTCGGCGGCGATCGCCGATCCGCAAACAATTAGTCGCGCCTCGCTCCTATGATTTCCGCTCATTTGGACGCTTAATACGCGTGTCTCTTTGCCTCGAATCGTCCTCGATCGACAATACTGACGGAACGGCGAAAGAGAAGACGAGAGAGAGAGAGAGAGAGAGAGAGAGAGAGAGAGAGAGAGAGAGAGAGAGG